CCCCCATTCCTCAGGGCGCAGCTGCTCCCCCCCAGCCCTCTGCTGGAGGAGCCCATCTGTGTCCCCGGAGGCCCTGCGCCGCCGGGGCCTCTCCAGGTCACACTTTGCCTCTGAGCCACTTTGGGGCAGTTTGGCTCCGCCGCGGAATTCAGGGTTCGGCAGAAATAGGGTCTCTCGTTGCCGAAACGGAGCCTCGCCGTGTCGCTGCTCACTGCGGGACATGACCCGAGAAGCCACCCCTTCCGGACACGGGAGCTCCCACTGCGGCCGCTGGGGACCCAGGACCCCGGGCTCTCCCAGGGCTACGCACGTGGAGCCCTGGACCGATTCTTGAGCTATGAGCAGGGACAATTTTATGAATAAAACTGAAATGCGTCTGAAGCAAAAAATAATCCTTTTGAAGTATCTTTTATAAGAAACTTTATAGTAATAAAAAGTTATTTTTATAGATTTAATATAATACCAATTAAAATATTAACAAAATTAACTTTAAAGTCATAAATGTTTGTAAATTAAATGTATATATGAAACTATTACTTAAAAGTTCTCAGCAAAGGAGCAGCAATAGTTACGTGCAGTAAATGCAGAGCAGACGTGACTTTCACAGTCTGGGCAGGGACCCCCTAGTTCCTCATGAGCCCTGCACCGCCCCCCGAGTCTCAGGTGAGCACTGAGCGCATGGAGGCCTCCAGGTGAGCACAGGGGCCTTGCAGGGTGCTGCCCACAAGTGCGGACGCTTCTCTCTACAGGAGAGCGCCCAGTGGGGACCCCCCGTCACCCACAGCAGGTCCCACCTTGGCCCTCGGAGCCCCCTGTCCTGCTCTGAGAGGGCTCGGGGACCCCCACCTGTGTGGGTGAGGGCTCCACCTAAGGGTCTCTGGAAATGAGCTGCCCAGGGAGTGTCCCTCTGTCCTCTCCTCCCCCGTCAGCCCAGCCATCGTCCCTGTATTACAGGCCAAGCCTGGGCACCCAACGCCGCAATCCGGGCCCCTGTCATCTTCAAGTCACACACGCTCCCATCTGGTTAGGGACCCGGGTCCCCATAACTACGCAGGGGTGTTGGCTTTCAGTGGAAACCCCACAGGTTCTGTCTGTGTGGAGCCAGGAGGAGTGGAGATGCTAAAGGGGTGTTTCCAAATCTTTGCTGTCTCCATAATATTGCGGCTTCCTCTTCTAAGATGAGCCCCCAAGCCTGATGAGACTTACTTGAGACCAGGAGCTCCAAGGAGTCACTGGGTGGTGACCACATCTGGGAGTACTTCTTAAAATAGCCGTAGCATCTGAACATCCACCTGTGGCTGGGGCTCACGGGGCCCACAGGGAACAGGGCCTGGAAATGCCCACCGGGGCGTGGCTGTGAGTCCAGGGCCCAGGAGAGCCTGTGGTCTCCTTCCTTAGTCAGAATGAACCTGTCAAATTTCTGCCCTGAGCCACACTGAAGGGTCACGTTCCCTCCTGAGGCCACTACAGGGCTGGGCAGGGCCGAGAGGCTGGGTTTGCTGAAGAATCCTAGGAGAGGCGGAGGCAGCGAGTTAGATGGGGTCACACCCCAGGGATGGGTGTCAGAGAGTGACACCCTAAGAGCAGACCCCTTCCTGAGAGCAGAGCTTGAGGCTGGGACCCCTGAGTGTCCTCTCACCTGTCACCACCAGCTCCAGAGGGTCACTGCGCTCTGACCAGACACTGTGGTTGAGATAGAGACAGCGATATCTTCCTGCATCATACTCTGTCATCTTTGTGATGGAGAAATTGACCTTGTCCCCGGCATCCAGTGGACTCTGTCTTTTCCATGGTTGTGTCCTTCCCTCTTTTCCCAGACGGTATTCCTCAGCCCCTAGGGTCCCCTGACACCAGATGGTCACAGGGCTCCCCCGGGGGATCACAGAGCCTGGCTCAGCCCAGAGGATAGGTTTGGAGAGGGTCCCTGGAAGGAATTAGAGGCTCGGTCCTAAGATACTCCCACCCTCATTTACCCAGCTCAGTCCCAGATTCCTCCCATCTCTCCAATAGATCTTCTCTTCTCCTTCCCCAGCTGCCTGGGGGTGGTCTCTTGTCCCCAGGGAGGAGTGAAACCTGGGACACCTGGGGACAGACTCACCTGCCTGCACTGGGGTCCTCAGGCCCACGCTCAGCCCTGGAAGAGAGTTTCTGTGAGAGATCCGCCCTGATCCTGGGCAGACCCCCTCCCGCGAGCCTCCTGGGTTTTGGGGTCTCCTGGCAGCGCAGCGCTCCCCTCCCCTCCTGCCCCCTCACCGAGGCAGAGCAGGGCCGCGAGGGTGGGGGTCATGGTGTCTTCTCCCTCTGGCTCAGCTGTGCAGGGGGAGGGGACCACGGCGCCCCAGGAAGGACAGNCCTCCACCCGCCCCTCCCCGTGGGGTCCTCACCTCAGACAGTGTCACCCGGGCCCTGGAGAAGCTTCAGGAAGACGCGGGTCCCTGTGGCTTGCGGGGCTCAGGTCAGCGGGGACTCGTTCACCCTGTCACCCTGCAGTTCAGGGCGAGGGTTCCTGTGACACTGAGCTCAGAGGGGAAATGCAGGGAAATAGGGGAAGGAAACACGTCCCTTCTCCTGGCCCCTGAGTGTGGCTTTCTTTCTATGACATGTGTTTTCATAAACTTCTGTTTTTTTTTTAGCGACAGCCTCCAGCCCCTCCTTCCTGGGAACGAGCCTCGGGGCCATTTTGCTCCTCACGCCCCATGTTCCTGGGGCAGAGCTGTCCCCCCAGTACCATGGCTTTGTCCTAAAAATTAAGATGCTGTAGTTTGGGCCGGGGTTTTCATTTGTAGAGGAAAATTCACATTTATTTATTTATTCATTTATTTTAAATCTTTTAAAATTATTTTTCAATTACAGTTGACATACAATATTATATTAGTTTCAGGTGTACACACCAGTGATTAGACATCATAAAACTTATAATGGGATGATCCCCAAAAATCTCATGTGTAGTTATTAGAATAGTATTTACTATATTTCCTATGCTGTGCCTTGCACCCCCATACTTCAGTACTTCATGTAGTGCTTGTCTGGTGGTGATGAACTCCTTTAGCTTTTCCTTGTCTGGGAAGCTCTTTATCTCACCTTCAATTCTAAATGACAGCTTTGCTGGGCAGAGCAATCTTGGTTGTAGTTCCATGTTTTTCATCACTGAATATTTCTTGCCACTCCCTTCTGCAAAGTTTCTGTTGAGAAATCAGCTGACAGTCGTATGGGTGCTCCCTTGTAGGTAACTAACTGCTTTTCTCTTGCTGCTTTTAAGATTCTCTCATTGTCTTTAACCTTTGGCATTTTAATGATGATGTGTCTTGCTGTGAGACTCTTTGGGTTCCTCTTGTTTGGGACCCTCTGTGCTTCCTGGACTTGTAAGTCTATTTCTTTCCCCAGGTAGGGGAAGTTTTCTGTCATTATTTTTTCAAATAGGTTTTCAATTTCTTGTCCTCTCTCTTCTCCTTCAGGCATCAAAATGATGTGAATGTTGGACCACTTGAAGTTGTTCCAGAGGCTCCTTACATTCTCTTCATATTTTTGGATTCTTTTTGCTGTTACTGTACTGTACTGTTAATTCCCTGTAAATTCTTCATTTCAGTTGATGCATCCTTCATTTCTGACTGTAATTTTTATGTCACTGATGTTCTCTTAAGTTCCTTGAAGTTCTTACTAAGTTTCTTGAAATTCTCAGTAAGTTCCTTGAAGTTCTCACTAAGTTTCTTGAAGTTCTCAGTAAGTTCATTGAGCATCCTTATAACCACTGTTTTGAACTCTGTGTCTGGTAGTTTTCTTGCTTCCATTTCCTTTAGTTCTTTTTCTAGAGAGTTCTGTTCTTTCATTTGTGACATGTTCCTTTGTCTTTGCATTTTGGCTGCTTCCCTGTGTTTGTTTGTATTACGTAGAGCTGCTATCTCCTGGACTTAGTAGAATGTCCTTGTGTAGTAGGTTTTCTGTAGGGCCCAGTGGCTCAGGCTTTCCAGTCACCTGAGCTGGGCACTCCAGGTGCTCTCCTGTGTGAGCTGTGTGCACTGTCCTGTTGTAGTTGAGCCTTGGTTGATGTTGGCATCACTGGGAGGGATTGACTCCCTTATCCAATCAATATCAAGGATTGGCTGCAACTACAGCAGAAGAGCTGTGTGCAGGAGCCAACCCTATGGAGCAGGATTTGCTTCAGTGGGGCTTTGGTGCTCACTGAGACTGCCTCTTGAGTGTGTCACTCTTGGATGTGGTAGGGTTGTAATCTGGCATGGCCTGAAGCGACTCTGGGGCCTCCTGGGACGTGCAAAGTCAGCCACTGCCTGTACCCTGCTTGGGGCCACCCAGCATGAGCTACAGAGCAATCTGCAGATGACTGTTACTATGTTGGGCTTGAAGGTGCCCAGGAGAGGCCAAGCTGTGAACCAAGGTGGGATGCTGCTAGTGCCAGGCCCCTTATTGAGAGGTACTGGGCACACTGAGGCCAGATGCTGCTTGTTTGAGAGATTTTAGCAAAGTCTGAATCGTGAGGCAAGAGAGGCTAGTTGTATGGAGAGCCACTGGAAATGGCTTGGATGAATCTGCAAGTAGGGAGGGCCAGGGTCTCAGGAAATCACCAGGGCAGGGTGAACAGTGTGAGCCAGGTTGATAGAGGCTCAGATATGGCACCTGCCTGTTGGCCCTGTGGCAAGGAGAGTTCAGCAATTGGAAAAAATGGCCTCTGGCCTCTCAACCAATGAACCTCCACCAAGAGCTTCTCCCCATCCTCAAGATAATGAAGTTTCCCCTTGGATTGTAGCTTCCCACCCCCTCCTTGCATTTCTTGCCCATAAATACAGCTTCCCCAAATCCTCACATAACTCACCAGCAGCTTGCTACAGTTTGCATGTCCTGAATTGCAATTCCTCTGCTGTTCCCAAATAAACCAAACTTTTGGTCATTGGAGCTTGCCTCAGTTTTCCTCTTATGTTTAAGTTGATACTAGAGAAGTCTGTGGGATCTGTAGTGGTGTCTCATTTCATTACTAATATGGGTTCTTGGTGCTGTATCTCTGTTTCTTGTTCAGTGTTGCTGGATTTCATACAGTTTAAGAATATTCAATAATAAATATTTTTGGACAGATTGCTTGTGTCTCTGCAAATTCATATGCTGAAGCCCTAACCCCCAGTGTGACTGTATTTGGAAGTGGGGCCTCTAAGAAAGTAGGTCAAATAAGGTTATAAGTGTGGGGTCCTGATTTGATAAGATCAGTGTCCTTAATAAGAAGAGAAACCGGATAGCTCATTCTGCTTCTCTCCATGTTCTCACACCAAGGAAAGGCCATGTAACAACACACAGAGAAGGGGCCATCTGCAAGCCAAGGCAGAAATCCTACCAGACGCTCACCCTTTTGGCTCCTTGACCTGGGGCTTCCATTCTCCAGAACTGTAAACAAATAAATTTCTGTTGCTTAAACCACTCAGTCTATGATATTTTGTTATAGGAGCCTGAGCAGAATAATATAAAATTTGGTACCAAGACCTGGAAGCAGCTTTGGAAGTGGTAATGGGAAGAGGCTGGAAGAGTCTTAATGTGGATGCTGAAAAAAGTCTAGGTACTGTGAATGGACTGCTGGTGGATGCATGGACGTTAATGGTGATTCTGGTGAGGGCTCAAAAAGAAAAGCGAAGACATGGAGATAAAGCTTCCACCTTCTGCATGATGAATGGTGAACAGAATGTTGGGACAAATATGAATGGTAATATCCATTTCAGATATTACCCTCAGATGGAAATGATAATTATAGTATTAGACCATGAATAAAAGGTGATCTTTTTTATAAAGTGGTAAAGAGCTTGGATGAATTATATCTTCTAATGTTTCTAGACTATAGAATTTGGGAGCCATAAAATTGCATATTTAGCTGAAGAGATTCGTAAGCAAAATGTTGACATTTGACCTGGGTCCTCCTGAATGCTGATAGTAACTTTCAAAAGGAGAGAGAATAACTGAAGAAGGAACTGTTAAGCAAATGGACCCAGAACTTAATGACTTGGAAAATTCTTGGCTGCTCATATTGCTACAAATGAGAGTGGGTTTGGGAGAGATCAGCCACGGGTGGGGATGGACTATCAGTGGGTAAAGAGATGATGGGATTGTAGGGGCAGAAACACTGCTCAGATACTACAGGCTGAGATGATACAGTTATTGGTCTGCAAACGTGTGCTATTGTGGCAGGATAGTAAGGAACTAGGGAAATTCCTTGACAAGTGGAATAAGGGAAACTGACACAAAATAATTAAACAAGGCCAAACGATTTGAGCAACTTACCAGCTAATGAATTACAAGGTCTTAGTTCCCTAACCAAGGACACTTAGGAGCAGATAGTTTACACATTCCAGACCATCGTGGGACAGACCTGCCTGGGTCTCTCTTCAGTGATGTTTTTTAAAAATGAAACTAGCCAGAAAATAACCTCTGGCCCCCCTATACACACATTTTGATGAATCAACATATTGAAGGACACATCTGAAAAGCTAATGAATATTCTGTTAAGACCCTCCCCAGAGACCTCCCCCAGGATTCCACCTGCCAAAGAGATAAAAAGCCTCAAGACAAAGGACCCACTGTGTGCTCTTGCTAGAGTATGCCTATGCCTTGTATCTCTGCTGTTTTTCTCCTAAACTCTGAGGGACCCCAGGAGACTTGCAACCAGGGGAGCAGTGGGCAGCAGCAGCTCATCCCAGACTTATTCCCTGAGCCTGTCTCCAATGCCCCCTTTTTCTCTGACTTTCTCTCTCCTGTTCCTTCTTCTACCTTAAGCCCTTTCTTTGTTTCACTGTCTCCAGCTTTAATAAACTTACTCTCAAAAATCACTTGGATTCATACTGTGAAATTTTTCCTACATGAAGTTAATAACCCACACACTACTGGCGGGCTCAAGGTAGACCCGCTCTGGGCACAGGCCCCATTCAGTAAACA